GGAGGTGTGGGCGGCCCTCAGGTCCGGAGCAAGGCGGCCCCAGCGGCCGTACCATGGACTCGGGTCTCGAGGAGTACGAACTTAACGGCGACCCGCGCCCGGGCTCTCCTGGCTCCCCGGACGCCTCGGTAAGCTCCTTTCCCCCGCACCGCTGTGCGACCTTGGCGGGCGCCCGCCCACTTTAAACTCCGCGCCCGAGGCACCTCTGGTTGCCAAGCCAGCTGTGCGCTGCGTTCGTCTTGCGGAGTGGCGGGGGTCGCCGCGCCCTGAGCGCCCCGAGCCTCACCCACGCCGTCGGGGGTCCGAGCAGTGACCCCTGGGCTTCTCCTACCCGAGTAGGTGAGCGGGGTGGGCTGGCAGACTGCCTTCTGGGCCAGGCCAGTTGGTGCCCACGCCTCCCCGCGACCTGGCCTTCCCCGCTTCCGCACCACCCTCTAACTTCCAGCCGCTGCATCTCTGGTTCGCTGTGCTCTGGGTGGGCGGGGAGGATCCCAGCCTCCGGGTCCCAAGCCAGCAGCTGGTAGACAGTTACGTCACCCACGTTGTCCACGGAGACCGCACGGGTCTGGTGCGTTCCCTGATGGGAAACTTGGGGCCACTGTGTCCTCTCTCCTCTCTTCCCCCGCAGCACCCGCGCGCCTTCCCTCCCCCCACCTCCACCCGTGGCCTCTTCAAAGTCTGCCCTGCTGACCTGAGAGGAAAGTGGGCACAGGGCAGAAACTGGAGGTTGTCCTGCCTACATTTTAGAGCTGGTGCCCTCTTGCCCTTAGGTCCCTTTCTGCTGCTGGGCAGGGCCCAAGCGGTGGTCTTTGCCACTTCCGGGGCCTAGCACTTCACCAGCGCCTATTTGTGAAGGAATCCGGGGCACATCCCTCAAGAATTGATTGACTTTGGACATTCCCTCAAGAATTGATTGACTTTGGACATTCTTTCGGTTTCTGACCCCTCTGGGGATGGGGGCAGGGCCAGCAACCTCTCAATGGTGTGAGCCTGACTGGGACAAAGACACTGACAATGCTCAGTTGTGGGTGACCAGTCTTGGAGATGCTCAGGCCATATTGAGGTTGCGGGGGAGGGGGGGGGGCGGGCGAGGGGGGAAGGTCCCAGATGGCCTAGACAGCCCTTACATGTGCCCCTGGCCCCACAAGATAATCTTCTCCATTTTTCTTCATGGCAAGCCTTTCTGGGGACCCAGCTGCCTTGCTGGCCCTTCAGTAAATCCTCACAGCCCTGGGGTGGCACAGGATGTTTGTCCCAGGTTAGAGATGAGGAAACTGAAGACTGAAAGGAACCCACATTTGGCCCTGCCATGGCATATGAGCACTTTGGAGCAGCGGGCTGTGTGTGTGTGCTTGGGGATGCTGGTATACCTCACTGGGCCTTCTGTCCATGGTCTGAAAAGAGAACAAATGACCCTGCCTGCCTTCGAGGAAGTAGGGAGAGCATGTCAGGTAACAAAATGGGATGGATCCCGGTCACCTCTCAGCCTTGGCTGGGCCCTTCACTCCAAACTTGCTCTGCAAGCCTCATCTCTAGAGCACTGCACTGGCTCTGGGACCAGAGTTGGGGCAGGCAAGTGGCACTACACCCTGTAAACAGAGCAGAGGAGCCCCTGGGCAAAGTGCTGAACTCCCAGGGGCTGGCGTGGTGGCAGTGGGAGTGTGACATTGGCACTGGGCCTTGGACAGCTGGAGTGGAGTGGGGGCACGTCCCCCGACAATGTGGGAAAGGACATCCCAAGCAGGGGGACCAGTGTGAGAAAGTTCCAGAGGCTGGGCCACTGAGTATATTGGGGCTGGGGAGGAGGTGTATTGGGAGGCCAGGCTTTGCTGGGAGCCCATATGAGAATGAACACATTCGTCTGGCTGTCTCCAGTCACAGGCAGGGAGGCTTCAGGAGGAGTAGCCAGTCTCAAGTCTACTCCGCTCATCTCTCCTGGGCCCAGGTCCACCCTCCCCTTCCCATCCTCAGGACCTGCCTTGTTGTGTTCTTGGGCATATCACTCTGTGCCTTAGTTTCTCATATGTGAAATGGAGTGGTAGCAGTGCATCCCTCAGAGGTCGTCCTGAGGACTAAATGAGCTAATGTGTGAAGTACCACAGCTGGCCAGGCACACTGTGTCATCAACATCCCCACCTGCCACATGAGAGCCTCTCCCAGTATTAATGCCTGGGCAAGTACCTTCCCCAGGTGGGACTCTTGGACATGCATGGTCCTCTCCCTGCGCCTCTCCTGGCTTTTCTGTGGCCTTCTCTCCTGGTGGCCCTGCCAGAATCTGAGCCTCAGGAACCTGCATGAGGGTGAGAAGAAATGCTTGCTGGGCAGAGGGGTAAACCTTGGGGTCTTCAGACACATCACCTCTAGATCAGGAACTCTGGGTGGCAGGGTGGGTGGTCTAGGTCACTGCTGTGTCCCCAGTGTGCTCCCGGCTGTGAGAGGACAAATGAGAAGCCTGGCCTTGCCATACAACCTTGGGCAAGTGCAGATCTGCTCCAGCCTCTGTTTCTGCTTCTGTGAAGAGGGGTGGGTTGGCTTACCATCCCAGGTGGCTGGGCCTAGGGAGAAGTCACACCTGTAACCTGTGGGCAAATGGGCCTCGCTGGGCCAGGGCAATGGGGAGCTCCACAGATGCCCCACTTTGTGTGCCCAAGCCCCCACAGCCCTCATATGTGCCCAAAGGCCCCTCTACCCAGGGCCCCCACAGGAGTGAGTCAGTATCTTTGTTGTCAACTTTCTTTTGGCTGCCAGTAGGAGGAATGGTAAACATCCATTTTAATGTGAAAGTGGCCCACAGCCATGTCATGCTGGAGGTTGCTTGGCTTGGGGACAGTTGCATTGGACCCTGCAGCAGATGCTGGCATCTTGGCCAGCTAACAACATAGCAGGGAGGTGGTAGGACAAGGCTCCTGGAGCCACATCTGGGCCATGCACAGCCTCAGCTTCTGGAGGAACTTTGCTCTTCTCATTTCTGCTTTCCTGGCAAATCCTGAGGCTGACAAGGTCCTGGCCAAGTTCTAAAAGATGACTCTGATGTAGCCGCAGGGTCACTGACAGCCAGTGCAGAGCCCACTGGAAGTGGGTGTGCCCAGCTCATGACCCAGCTACAACAGGATCCCTGCTCCTGCCCCCACCAAACTTCCTGCATGGAGCTAAAGACCTCTTGGCTGGCTGGGTAGGGACAATTTGGGGATAGTGTGGGCCTGTGTGGCTCAGACAAGACTTTCACCCAGCCTGTGCATTGGGCACAATGTTAGCTCACACACTGGAGGTTTAGACGAGGGACACCCAGGCCCTGCCAGAGCCAGCTTGGTTCTCAGGTCCCACCCCAGAGGGGTAGACACCAGAGCCCACATATCACTGGTACTGACCGAACCCGAGAGGGGTGGTTCCTACACAGGAGGGGCTGCAGTGGGCTAGCAGCTGGAGCTGGACACCCAGTGCTGCTCAGCTCATAAGATCCTATTTCTCAGGCTTGTCCTTTTTCCTCCTTGTCACAGGTTTGTTTATGGAGTTGGCTAACTGGCAAAGTTTATTTGGGAGGTAGTCTTTCAAAGACATGATAGCTAGGCAGTGAGGAGAACCATCCAAACTGCCTCAAAAGGCTGACCAGCCACCAATCCTCTGAGTCCTGCATTTAGTCCCCTGTCTGCCTGGTTTACAGTTGTGATAAACTGAGGCCTAGGGTGGTCATCCCTTGGGTCTGTCATGCAGCAGGATACAGGGGTGATAGATCGGTGGTGCCAGTGGCAGCCCTAGCCAGGTCCTAGCAGGCTAGCCAGTGAACCTCATAGACCTTTTGAGATCCTTGGTTTCTCACTCTGCAGATGTGAAAATGGGCTCTGGGAGAATAGGCAGGAATTCCCATGTGAGTTTCTTATTCCATACTGTACTCAGGATCTGGGGTCAGGCAGGATTGGAGGGAGTCAGTAACTGAACCCCTCAGTCCCTGCAGGGGCTTAGTGGGTGGGCCTTGGCCCTGTTCTGTCCTGTCCTATCCACCCGGGGGAGCAGGAAGTGTGCAGGCAGGAGGCTGGGAGTGAGCTAGACAATGCAGGCCCAGCCGGTGCCTCAAGCAGCCCTTCATCTCCTCCCATCCAAGCCTGGGATGGACCAGAGTGTCCTTTATGCTGCAACCAGACCGGGGCACCCAGGGTTCCTCAGACCTGGATTAAAATCCTGAGTCAAATCAAATCCTAACTCCCCTCTCCACTGAGCTGAAGACACTCAGCAGTATAGCCTGGGCCAAGTGCCCTGGGTCCTTGCAAGCTGCCTGTGAACAGCTGCCATGAGACCCACTGTCCACAGAAGGTGGACGGCCATGCATACATAGAGTCAGCTCCCTCCCCACAAGACTCCTTTCTGGCTTTTTGGAGAAAAACTCCAGCAGCCCTGAGGTCACCCTGCTCCTGGGACCATAGCTGAGGTTCTGGGAAGTCCCCTTGGGCCCAAGAATACATTAACCAGGGTGTTTGTTTTCTGTACCACCCTGGTCATGGCAGAGATCTCAGTGGGAGATTCTCAGAGTGATTCCTGGCAGCAGGGTGGCCAGGTGACGGGTCCAGACCTATAGGATCCCAGACCTGCAAGAGGTGGCTTCCAAGGCAGCAGCCTCCTTGGGACTGTTCTGTGAGTGGTCACCTCCAAGCCCAGAGCTCCCCACACAGTTCAGAGCCTCCCCTCTTCCCCAGCCCCAGGAGGCCTGGGGTGTCAAGGTCAGGCATGAGGGAAATGTATCAGCCCTGGGCCCCTTCCTAGGGTGGATAAGAGGCCATGCCGGGCAGCCTTAGGTTTTGGAGCAGACAGGCTGTTTGAATGCTGATCTGCCCCTCCCTCGTGGTGGCCCTGGCAGGCCCCTGAGCCTGTCTCTCACTCTGTAAAATGAGAAAATCACACTTTCTCTCAGGGTTAGGGAGGGCACTCTGTGGGTGGTATAGCTCCCAGAGTACAGATGGAGAGACCGAGGCCAGCAGAGGGAGAGCATGTTGTCAAGACCTCACAGCCAGTCTATGGTATCTAGGATTGACCAGGGCCCCCAGCCTGTGCTCCCCTTATTGCTGTACAGGTTAAACAGGAAGCAGATGGCCATGTGTGCGGGAAGCGCCCTGCACCAGGAGGGGTATGTAGGTTGGGGCTCTGAGGCATTGGCCAGACCCCTAGAATGCCCAGGATCCCTGCTCTGTGGCCTCATTGCACACGTTGGAGACCAAGGCCCAGAGCGGGCTGGCTGTCCTGAGGTCACACAGCTGGAGCCTGTGCAGGGGGCCTCTGAGGGCTCAGCCCCAAAAAGGTAGCCTCTGATCCTAACACACTCCATGGGGAAGGAACCACAGTGTCAGCCGCCAAGGCTTCTAAGCCCCAAGGCCTGGTTTCAAATCTCAGTGCAGCCCTCACTTGCCTTTGGCTTTGGACAAGGGGCTTCAGTTTACCCACACTAAGTGGGTATGAGGCCGGGGGGCTCCCTAGGGCAGAGCACCCTAGCTGAAAAGTGAATAAGATGGTGGGCTGCACCTAGAGCACCCAGGAGAGAGGACAATGGGGACACAGGCTCCCTGTGTTGGGGGCACCGCCACTGACCATGTCATTCTGTATTTGAATGTGCATATGGCTGCATGGCTATGAAATATTTAAATGGTTCAGGAGACCTCAGACTATAAAGGAATTCTTTCTCCTGCCCAGAGGCTACCACAGTTAGCCTGGGTGCGTACATATCTCTTCATGTGTTTATTTATGCAGCCGTACATGTATACTTGTTGTAAATGTATGTATATGTGTGCATGTCTATGTATACTAGTACATATATATGTGTGTCTACCTGTGTGTACATCTGTTACATGCGTGTATAAGCTGATGTTTATATTTTTAGGCACATAAGTGTATATATGTTTATGTGTGTTTATACATGTGTATATATGTTGCTTACACATGTGTATATGCTCATGTGTGTATATATTTGTTTATGCGTGTGTACATGTGTGTATGTATGTAGATGTGTGTATAAGCTCATGTGTGTGCGTATATGGCTCAGAAGGTGGAAGCCCCTTGTAAGGTCTGTACCTGGCTTTTTCTCTGGGGTTGGAGACTGGGGTGAGCATTGGGCTAGCTTCAAGTGAAGGCACTTTGGCACTTTTGGTTTATGAAACATAGGAGCACACCCCCACTGCAGGCCAGTGCCTCCCAGATGCCCATCCCTGGAGGAGCACACGGGTGATAGAGTGTGGAGCTAGGGGACATCCTCATGTGGTGGGGGGCACAGGCCCTTAAGCAGTGAGTGGCCTGTGCCCAAACCCTGAGGAAGAGTAGCCATGTCCTGGGGGTACAGGGGCCTGAGGGACAGCCCACCCAGCTGTGAGTGTGGCTAGAGACCTGGCCTCGAAAGGCAAAAGGGAAACCTTAAATGGAGAGTTACAGGGGAGACCTAGTGGGGCTTGGCTGTGTGTAGAACATCTCAGAGAGCAGGGCTGGGGCCTGGGTCTGTGGAGGAGGCCGTCCCTATGTGCCCTTGGGCCTAGAATTTTAAACTAAGCAGATTTGCTACTTCAGAGCCACTCACTTGAGGAAGGTAGGGCAGGCAGCAGAGCCACCTGTGTTCTGCGTGTCCATCCTCCCTTCCTCCTGGGCATGTTATTCTAGGCTAAATTTAAACTTAAAGACATACCATTAAAATGAGGCCTGCCTTTCTGTAGGTCTGTACTTTCCACAGTGAAATTTGCAGCTACAGGAAGTGAAGGCAGATTGTCTGCCATGTCTCCTCTCCTGGTGTTCGTGTCCCCTCCCAGCACCTGCCTCCCAGACCTGCATCTTTCATGAGTCTAGAAACAGGATCTCCTGGGTGGCCCCAGGAGGCCAGCCTGCTGACCAGTCCCCTAGGAGGCTGCAGTCCCAGGCTAGTGGCTCAGAGGTTCTTGTGGACAAAGGCCCAGGACCCAAGGGCGCAGATTTGTCCTTGGGGTCTGGGGAGGGGTCCAACCAGGGGTAGTTTGAGGTCATCTTGACATGGACTGAACAAAGACAGCATGAGGGGCACCCAGGAGTGGCAGGGACCTGCACTGAGGCCAGGGTGTTCTCAAGCAGAGGTGACGGAGAAGGTTTCAGAACTCTTACTCCTGTTTTACCAATATGAACATGAAGACAGAATGAGTGCAGGAGCTCCACTGCGTGGCATGTCATCACCAGTATAGCACTGTAAGTGTGGCCTCAGTGAAGTATTCTTATCACAAATCATAGTAAATAAAGGGGGCAGGAGATGTTTGGAGGTGACGGATATGTGATGGCCTGGAGGGTGGTAGTGTCATGCAAGAATATTTATCTCTAAACTCTTCAGGTTGATTACATTAAATGTGTATAGCTTTTTGTATGTCAATCATATCTCAATAAAGTGGTTTAAATGTTTTTAAATAAACATTAAAGAAGCTAAGCTTGACTTTGGCATAGAATGTTGAAGCATCTATTAAGCGCCTGCTACGTGTCCTCTGCAGCTGGAAGGTGGCCTGAGCAAGATCAGTGGTCCAGAGAGGGCTTGTTTCACAACTGGGCAAGTAGCAGGGATCCGGGATCTAGCTCCCATTCCCACACGTCACTTCTGTCTTGGGACTAACCGCCCGCCCAGACCCAGAGGAGAAGGGAGGCCTGGCACCGAGGGCAGGGGCATCCAGGGAAGGCTGCTAGATGCCACTATGGCAGGCAGGCACTGGTGGCAGTTTCCAGTCTGAAACCAGAATGTGTGCTGAGGTTGTGTTTGTGTTTCCTTTCTTTTCCAGGACTTGATTCCTAAGGAGGGTCTTAGTGGGGCTGCATAGCCTTTTCTAGAACTCTTGTTCTGTTAATAAACACTTCCCTCTTGAGCCCTCACCTGGGCCCTATACGTGCAAGCCAATAAACCCCACTTCTCTGCCAGTTCCTGAGAGGAGACTTGGGTGGGATCCCAGGGTAGCCCCTGCCTGCTTCCTATGGGAGACCCGCTGACTGTCCCCTCCCTGCAGCCATCCCGCTGGGGCAGGAACCGGCCCATCAACGTAAACCATTACGCCAACAAGAAGAGCGCAGCAGAGAGCATGCTGGACATTGCGCTGCTGATGGCCAACGCCTCTCAACTGAAGGCTGTCATTGAGCAGGGCCCCAGCTTTGGCTTCTTTGTCCCCCTTGTGGTCCTCATCTCCATTTCCCTCGTTCTGCAGATCGGCGTGGGTGTGCTGCTCATCTTCCTGGGTATGTACCTGGGCAGGTGGTGAGAGAGTCCTAGGGCAGCCCCACCCCATGGCGGGCTGGTTCACCTTGCACACCTCCTGGGTTGGAGCATTCATCATCTGATACCCTCTGAGCTGGCCCTCACAGAGCTGCACAGGGACCCTGGCCCTCATTTGGCCATGAAGTCCAGGATGTGGCCCTCGGAGAGACCCCTATGGCTCTGTTCTTCTACCCACCCAAGGAAGATGCAGGAAAATGTCATAAACATATAAGAGTTGACATGTATTGGGTTCCTACCATATACCCTTTAGTCCTTATGGTGGTCTACAGGGACTAGCTGGTGGTCCTGGCCCCTCAGGACCTCTGCGCCCTAAGAGAGGGTCCGGGCTTAGAGCAGCAAGGGCTTCAGGGTTGTCTCTACCTTTTCCTGGCTGTGTAACCTCAGGTTGGTTACTTTGCCTCCTGGACTCAGTTTCCTTGCCTCTTCCTGGCTAGGGCCTTGGGTATGTGCGAAGTTTGCTAATTACCACAGGGCACCCAGAAAGGTGCTTGCCTATGTATGCTCAGCATTTTGTGCCTTAAAATCGAACGTAGGCATTAGGCTGGCTCCTCTCACTCCATGACCAAAGGTGCCAGGCCCCTCCGAGCTTCCTTCCAGCTCTCCGGGCCAGCTCTATTGTCAGCAGTATATTAACGCAGACATGTCTCTCTGGGAGAAAGAAGTGGGCCCTGCGGGGTTGCTCGGCTCCAGTGCTGGGCCTAGTGCAGGCAGCCTGGGCAGTGTCCATGCCCTCTTGTCCACAGTCAGGTATGACCTCAACAACCCAGCCAAGCACGCCAAGCTGGACTTCCTCAACAACCTGGCCACCGGCCTAGTCTTCATCATCGTCGTGGTCAACATCTTCATCACTGCCTTTGGTGTCCAGAAGCCCGTGGTAGACATGGCACCCCAGCAGTAGGGCTCAGGTGAGTCAGGAGGGCTAGCCTGGGCTTCCCACTGGCCCACAAGCAGGCCTAAGGGCTCAGGGCCTTTCACTTGGAGCCCCATGACCTTGTGTCTGCCCCTGCCTCGGCCTTATAGGGTGAGCATCCGTGGCCTCACATCCATACACCACATTTAGCCCCCATCCTTGCTCAGAGAGGCCAAGCACCTGCTAAGGTTGCCCTGCTAGGGGGCCGGAGCTGAGGCCAGGAGACCCTCATAACACAACAAAGCAGCCTCGACAAGCCTGGGGGGCTCAGACAGGTACCCTAAAGTGTCATGAGGGCAGATGCAGAAGGTCAGCAGAATTCAACATTCTCCTGAGCTTATGACAGTGACCAGAGCATGGGGCATAAGTGTCTTGCGTCTGGGACCCTGCAAGGGCTGCACACCGTGGGCCATGTCACCTTGGGCCCAGGGGTCACTCCTCAGGCCTGCCCCAGAGGAAGCGTGGGCACCACTAACAGACTGGGGATGCCCCACGGCAGAGTGGGACCCCACAGAACCCTTTGGATGCCAGCTCGTTCTCTCATTCATGGCACAATGACCAGACTATTTATTAATCACCCTGTGTATGTTCCAAACACAACTCTGACTCTCCCCAAGAATCAGCTCTGTGGCACGAGTTCCCCACCAGCCCCTGCTCTTCAGTGTCCTCTGTCAGAGTATGCTGGGGCCAGGTTTTTAAATTCTGACAGTGACCCAGGAGGGGAAACTGAGGCTCACACGGGTCAGAATTGGGCTTTTCTAGAGTTGGAGCAGCCCTGATGCTCGTAGACTGGTCACCAGACACACCACTGAAGCAGGGTCACCAGGATGAGACCTGGGCCCCTCCAGCCTGGGTAACCCTCACGCCTCTCCTCTCCTTTGCAGACACCTCAGATTATGCCCAGCTGCAGCCACCCAGACCCCAGAAGCCGCCTCACCCTGGGGGCCCACCTCCCTGTATGGGGTACTCCCCGAAACTGCGAGTCCAAGACTGGGCAGAGGCCACTTGGGCCACCCCAGGGCCTCCTCCATTCTCAGCTGCTCCTTCTCCTGGAGCAAGTGTCAGCAAGACCCAGAAAGGTCATACCCAGCATGGACACACGGCAGGCCCAGAGATGGGCAGCAAGGGGTCAGGGCCAGCCTCAGTCTCAGGGCATTTCCAGAGGGATGAGGAAATGCCCCTCAGCCAACGCATTCTCTGAGGGACCTGTGGCTTCTGCACCTCCTGAACCAAGAGACTGGACTGCCAGCTCCTTCCTTCCACCACAGCTGTGGGCCTTGCACATGTGCTCCACTAGTAGTGACTGGACATGGGGCTGGGGCCTAAGCCCCCACTTTTCTAAGCACAAGTGACCAATAAAACTGATGCTCTTCCTGTGTGGCTACCATCACTGTCCTCCCTCTCCTGGGCCTGGGCCTTATACTATGCCCCAGAGCCCCAGCCTGTGCTGGCCTCTCCTCCCACTCAGGGCAGTCATGGGGACATAGTTCAAACCACAGGTCCCTTCACTAGAACTGCAAGCTTGGGCAGCTCCTTGGCACCTGACATCTTGGGTCAGGTATTCAGGCAGACACCAAGGTCTTAGGGCACCAATGCCCTAGTGTCTTTATTTTTTACTTCAGAGTATATAAGAATGGTTCAAAAAGCTCCTGGTAGCCTAGACTCAGATGACCTCGTGGCAGGGAGTCCCACTACAGGTGATCATTTGCTCTATTAGGAGCCTACCCACAGGTTTTCCCCTGCCCCCAATCTGGCTGGGGCTCCAGTGAGTGACACACATGCTGCGCTGACTGCCAGAACCTTGAGTGTGAACCTCCCAGAAATGGGTTCACGGACATGACCACACAGAATAACCAGCTCAGAAAACCAGCCTTGACACAACACTACCCTCTATACAGCAGACCCATCCATGTGTCACCAGGCTTTCCATTAGCTCATTTATAGCAGAACAGAGTAAACTCCAAGATCCCTCCCTCTGTGTTGGTTTTGGGGCTCCCAGGTGTTCCCTCAGATCCAGTTCAGGTGGGGCATTTTTTTAAGGTGATTGGCCCAGGGTGCCCACATCAGGGCTGCGGGGGCCGGGAGTGGGGAGCAGCTGGTTCCCCATGTCAACTTTGGGGGCATTTGGCATCAGAGACCAAGACTGGACCCTCCTTTGCAGGGTTTGGGGAAAGGGTGGCACACAGGATGACCTTGGGGGGGGAAGTAGCCTCCATTAGAGTCTCCAGACATCACCCATCCTGTCTTTGGCACTTGGCCTGATGACCAGCCCCTCATGAAAACTTCCAGCACTCTCACTGTTTCCTGCAGCCTGCATGCCACATGTCTTCCCTTCATACCCACAGCTGTGGCCCACTCCAAGGTCATAACCAGCACTGCCTTTCACTCAGGCCTTGTGTGCCAAGGAGAGCAGGGTTGGCCCAAGCAGTTTGAGACCCTGCAGAGACCCCAGCAAAGGCCAGATGCTATCATCCTTACCTTACCTGACTGGAATCCCTAGCTCCCTTTCATCCACCCCTAGGCCTCCAGGGCCTGAGCTCTCACTTTGCCTCTTGTCTCATCAGCCATGACTCCTGCTTGCTATACTCCGTATCTCCTTGAAGTAGCAGGCCTGTCCTCATCTGGAACCCTCCAGGTGCCTGGTACACCTGGGAACCCCTGTGGTCTTTGCCACTCGTCCTCCTCTCCCCATCTCTTCTCTTCCCCTCCCCTAACCTGAGCCTGGTGTGGCTCCAACGCCTGTTCCCTTAAGATAGTCAGGTGACCCCACCATGTGGTCTGTGGGGCTGAAAGATCAGCTCAGCACAAAGTGATGGATAAACAGGAGTGCTTGTGGGTGAGACATTCAGTCCTGGGCTTTGCTTTAAAATACTCCAGGAATAAGCATAGGGAAATGATAAAACAGGGTTGAAAAAGTGCTAGTGACTGCAGAGTAGGGCCATAGGGTGTCTCTGCTCTGGTGAGTGTCTAAATATCCCATAAAGAGGGTTTTTAAACTTGGGACAAGGTTCAGGAAGAAGCAAGTGAGCAGGTGGGCAGTGGGTGACACGTGTTTCCAGCCAGAAGGGGCAGGTGCAGAGCTGTGCAGTGGGCCGGCCCTGGGGCAGGTTGTGAGGAGGTTCCCGGACTCACACCACCTCTCCTGCTGGTCACTATGAGTGCATCTTATCTTCCCCTCTCACTTTTGACAGGAAGTAGCAGGCTTCTACCCCCTACACTTTCCACCTGCCACCTGGCCCTTGTGCCAGCCCTTCTGAGTGCCCCATCCCATCCCCTTTGCCTGCTGTCCCTGGCCATCCCAGTGTGTCCAGGGTGGTATCCGGGTCCACTCTCTTAGGCCCAGCTCTGCCTGGAGCCTGGCATATACCTTGTCCCTGGGATAATCTGGTATGACCTGTAGCGTGTGGTGTGACTGGCCAGCAGCCATGAGGGAGAGATACCAGCCTGTGTACTGGTCTCATGAGGCAGCGCCTCGGATGTGGCCAACAGATACTCTGGTTCCTCTTTTGGCCAGGACTAGAAGTCTGCCTGGAGGGGGACAGCTCCAGATGGCTCAGCTGAGTCCTGGACCACCAAGAAAGGCTAGCCTCCTGGGTGCTGGGGGCACTGGGGACAGGGCATGACACTGGGTGGGTCTGTGTGTCTTGGCCCCCACAACCCCCATCCCAGGTGGGGATATGCTTCTGGGCCCCAATGGCCCCCAGCCCCAAATGCCCCCACCAGCTCTCAGGCTTGAACCTTGACAGCCACTCCAGCCCCTTAACCCTCACTCCAGACACAGCCCTGTCTTGGGCCTTGGCATGTGCTGTTGCTTTCTGAAGTCAGTGCTCAGCCCTGAGGTCCTTCCCATAGGCCCTCTGACCTTTCTAACAGTTATTGTCACGGTGGGCTATTTGGGTTTACTTGGCCTTTTCTGCTATGGGATGGCCTCACTGACCACCTTGCCAGTGTCTGAGTGTCTGAGACCACCCCACACACTTGCCACACTGGCCCAAGACCAGGGCTGCATCCCAAGAAGGAAGGTCCTGTCCACTAGTCTCCCCTGAGATGGGGGAGGTGGGCCCCCATTTATGCCTGCTCTACTTACTTGGTTTGGCCTGACTCTCCCACCAGAAGCCACCACCTGTGACCTGTGTTCTTGGTACTGTGTCCAGCATACAGTAGATGCTCTGTAAATGTCTACAGCACTCACTCATCCATGTGTGCTGAGGCATAGACAGCGGAATGGGGTGGAGCTAGCCCCCAGATGTGACAACTCTCGGGCTACTCCTGGACTCCCATGCACCCACTCCTGTACAACTCTCCCCCACCCTGTGCCCCATCCTGGAGCTCAGCTCTGTCCTCCCTGGGGACACCAGAGACCCTGAGAGTGAGCAAGGGGTGTAAGGAGCAAAGAGATGCACACACGGAGTTGGGGGGATATCACAGAGGGACACACATAGAGAAGGGGGGTTGGAGAGGACTCAACGGTGACGGAAAAGAGCCTTGCAGAGGGACAAGTGCTGAGGCCTTGTTAACTGGGTATGGCCTTGGGGGAACCTGGTGTGCTCAATGTGGGGGAGTGGGCCATCATACAGAGCTTGAGCGGGGGAAGCATATAGAGTAAGACAGTGCAGGTAGATTGAATGCTTAACCTTACTGTAAAAGATAAATGATGATGGATGAATGGATAAAGAGATGATAGATTAATCGATTGGTAGGTGATTGATTGCTAGATGATAGATGGATGATAGATGGATAAATATAGGTAAATAAATGATGAATACTTGGTCAATCGATAACAGATTAATGGATAAATGATAAATGATAGACAGCTAGATGATAAACAGGTGATAGAGTGAAGATAAATGATAGACAGAAGATGATGATAAGATAGGGGTAGGGGTAGATGGGCTATCCCCAGGCCACCCTGGCAGGGTCTTTGGGAGAAAAAGTAGCTCTGTGCCAGTGGGAGCCCAGGCAGGAGCCCTCCTTTCCTCCAGAGAGCCCTTGCTGATGTTTCCTCATTGCTTATGTCCCCTGCATGCATCCCAGAACACTGGTGGATTCCTGCCTGAGTCAAGCCCTGGGTGTGTCCTCTAGGTCTGGTTTACTCTACAGGGTTCCCTCCCCTGGTTCTCTATCCCCACCATTTATACTTGAGACCTTAGCTCGCTTGATCTGAGGAAGGAAGAGGAAAGACAGGGTCAAATACACGCACACACACACACATCTGCCAGCCCGCGGCCCCTCCACCTCCCCGCCACCCTGCAGATGACAGCCAAACAGGGTAGGGCCCCCAGAGAGGGAAGGTGACCATGCGTTCCTACACCTGTTACATCCATCCCCTTCTGTTTTCCTCCTCTCTCATTTGCCTTCTACTGTGCCTTTAATTGACTTTAATTCCTCTTTCCTCAAGGCGTTAGTTTTAAAAATCAAGAAGCTAAATGCTTTAATGTTTTTCTTCTTTTTCTTTCAAGAATTTATTTCAGGGGGAAACTAAGCTGCTGGATCTGTGTGGCCAGATGAAGCTGCCCAAGGGCAGCAGTGCCCCCCCAATACCTGCTGGGCCCTTGCTCTAGGTGCTGTCTCAGCTGGGAGACGGGGTTTTGTCCCGCCTTGGGGTGGGATAAAAATCAGAGTTCCATCTGCCACCAGGCCAGTGCTAAGGGAGGGCCCCCACTCCCTAAAAAGAGTCCCTTTCTAATCCCCACTGTATAGATAAGCTGACCTAGGCTCCAGCATGTAGGCCTGGGCACAGAGCCAGCCCACACAGCTCTCCATCTCTTGAGCCCCCTCCAAACCTGACCCCTCACAGATACTTATCTGTGAGACTGTGGGTCCCAGGATCCATCATGCAGAGATCTGACCCAGGGCCTAGTCAGGCCTAGGGGTTGTGCAGAGGTTTGGGGTGATGTAGGGGACACATTAGGGGGATGGGTGGGCAGAGCTCCTCTGAGTTCTGCCTTAGAGTGCTAACTCCAGTGGGAACTGCAAATAGCAACCCCAATTCCAGCGGTGTCAGCACCAATTGACCTGGCCCCTGTGCTTGCAGAGTCAACAACACATTCTTGCCAAGAGGAACCATGTGTTGTGCAAGATGCAGCTGCATTTAAGGCTCTGAAAACAAGAGCCTATGTCACACCCAGCTCTTAACCAATGCCTCCTAGGTAAGAGCCACTGGGACTCAAATTCCCTCCCTAACAGAAACACCCATTAATCAGATTCACCCCTCCTTTACAGTACACCAATCCCAACACCCACCCCACTCCCTACCTAACCAACATTTCAAACCCTCCCTCCACATTGTCACACCTTCCCTCCCTCATTCTCCTCACTCCCTTCCTCCTTCCCTCCCTCATACCTTTCCTCCTTCACTCTCCTTCACTCCCTCCCTCACACCTT